GAGTAATAAGCATGTGGAGCACGAAGTAAGATGAAAAATGGTTTGCATGAAAAAGAGAAAAGCTCAGCCTAAATGCAAATATGAAAGGACTGCAAAGAGCTACCAGAAGAAAAAGAAGCAGACACCATCTCCAATGCAAACAAAATCCTTTAGTAGCCTGTTTCCCTCAACTCTACAATTTGTCTCAGATCCACTGATGCTACAGTTTCTTCTTTTGTGGATTATTCTAATGCTTCCTTTCTTAGACCATGTCTTTCCTTAGAAATCTTAATGACAGGCAAGTTGACAGTATTTCTTTAGTTCAGTTACATTTTCTTTGGATTTCTAATAACATTGACCCTTGAATCTAGTCTTTGGGACTTCAAGCCTTTATACTTAGAAATCCTTCTTTGTTTTCAACTTGCAGTCCTACTTATAATTAAATCTTCAATAAATATTTTTGGAAGGTTCCTGCTCTCTATAAATTTAAGGTTTTTGTTGACTGCAGTTTGTTTTAAGTTGAATACTAATAATTTGCTCCAAGCCTGTCCACTGAATGTTGCTTTATCACCTGGGAATTATGTTGTGTTTTAGAGCAACAGAAACTCATAAATCTGATTTTGCATCTTGAGTTATGTGTTTTAGGTGTTTCCTGGGCTTCTCTTGATGCAACTGAGGGTTTTTTCTTTTTTTTTATACTTTGGAATTAGTATATGAGAAAAGAGGCTAAAGCACTTCGGCACGGTTCTTTCTTTGATGATTATGGGGGATTTGACTTGAAAAGAAACACAAAAGTTTTCAGCAATTACTCTTCGCCATTTATGATTCTTTAGAATAAAGTAGTCTTTCTTGGCCTCCCTTTGTGCTAAGATGCATGGGCACTTATGAGAGTCATTTTTGTCTTCTTTATATAGAGATTGGTTAGCTATCCTTTCCCAAGATTCATTTTCCTTCTTCTTTTTTGTATTTTTCCTTTTTTCTTTCTCTAAGTAATGATATTTAATCCTCCTTTTTCTGTATCATTCTTCATTCTTCCTTTTAAACAGGATTTCTTCTTCTATCCAAAAAAAGTTTCAGCTGACTCCTTTGGTAGCAACAACTATCATTCCTTAAGAGACACAACAAGAAACCTTGATCCATTGGGAGCCTCTTTCACCAGCAGATGCTACTTGGAAATCATTCCTATAGCTGCTCGCTACCCACCTTCGTGCTTGAGGACAAACACTGTCTTAAGGAGGAAGCGATGTTGAGTCAAAACAGGTCAATATTAACAGCTAATGAATATGAAGCAATCCAGGTGGCTCCTTTTTATTGGCAAGTTCACAAACACTCTAAACATGAGGAAAAGAAAACCAACCAAGTCAAGGAGTGAAACAGATACCTGCTTCCTTTGAATATCCATAGTTTGTCGTTATTTGTTTAGTTTTCAAAGAAAACCAACCAACCAAGTCCTAGTTTTATGCTAATTTTAGTTTTCTTTATGTCCAAATTTGTTGTAGTAGTTTATTTCAGTTTCCTCTTTCATTTTATGTAAGTTTAGGAGTTCTGCTCAGTAGAAGTTACTGCTGTCATTGATGATAAAATCTCAGTTTGA